TCAATTAAGAGATTACGTAACTTTTTACCTAATACCACTAAAGCTGCGTTAGCGTAGTTTTTGCTGCTTCCTATCCTAGATTATGCCGACGCCTGTTACCTTGATCTTTCGGAGGATTAGCTAAATAAACTTGCGACTTCAAAACTTTTGAATCAGGTTCATATTTGGCTTGCGCGAATATGACCATGTTTCTCAGTATCGCACAGAGCCCAAATGACTTCCTATACGTCTTCGTATAGGAAGCCACTTGAGTGGTTTTGTAATGACAGCGTGTAATATATATATATATATATATATATCGTATTTTGTCACTGTTTGTCTTACCCAAATAAATAGAAAAAAAAATGTCTTAGAAATAAATTATTGTTATCGCTATTCACATTATTTAGGTGCAAAATTATCAAACTTTAAAAATGTATTTACGTCATAATATCATTTTTTTATGAGCCATGCCCGCAGTCTTTTTGTCGTTAAGTAGCATAGGTCCAAAATTAAGTACTGTAGTACACTTTAATTGCAAAATTGTGGAGGCGATAATTATAACCTGTGTCACCCGAGTATGACGTTGCCTTCCGTAGGTAAACGAATTTTTAAAATCGGTTTAGTGGTTTCGGAACCAATTCGATGCTAAAAACAAAAAAATTTTTCTTCTTTCTAAGATAAGAGGTTAGCGCATTCGGTTTATGATGCGATTAAGTAAGTAAGTAAAATCTTTATTGCGCAACAAGAAAATGACACGAACATACATAGGGAGACCCCGGTCTCCACTACGTATGTAGGATATACCTATATAAATTGGAAATAAATAAAAGTTATGTATTAGCAATCAATACGTTTATTCAAGAATCTCATTGACTACAGGAATTAACAAAAAATAATACTTTAATCTTCTTGATAACAAAAATAAATCAAAAACCTCGATGAATTCCGATTTTCCCCCGGGTGTGTGGACAAAACCGAATACTATATACCTACGCCCCAAAATTAACGTGATGCTACGCAACCATAGAAGATGAAAGAACTCTATCGCCAGATGATTTAAATTTATTTACACGATCCTGGAAAGTAGATTTAGGGACACCGTATATGATCGATGCTTTTAGATATCCCATTTCTCTTTCTAGAACACTTTGCATAGCCTTTTTCATTATTCCTGGCTTCCAAATTTGTTCGGCAGTATTTCAATTATAATTTCGTGGCATTTTAAAGAAATCTAGAAAGAAAAATATATATAATTAATTAACATGGTATCGGGTCAAAACAGTGTACTATCCGGTTTTACCCCGTACGGTTTTGAACCAATTGAACATAACCAATACATTCATCATCTACTACTTCATAGAGTCACATTAGTTGTTAAAACATTGCACATGATTAAATAAATATACACAGTTTAACGTAATTATTGTTATACGTACTTATATATTATAATATGTCCACTAATCAACCTTTTAAATCCTTAAAAATAAGATCAAAACATCTAAAAATATTGCTTTCCTTATAACTTGTTAACACTTGCACTGGTAGCGTCAAGTGCTTGTTGACAGGTTGATCCTATTGACTACTTGCAGCGACCGGCATGCATGCGAAATTTCAAATAATAACGGACACAGCTACACTATACGGTTTTACCTCGGTCTATGGTTTTGGACAGGTCTCCCCTATATATTTTTCATTCATAATTATGTACTAAAGACAAACTTAGCGCTAGCCAACTATTTCTTACAGGCAAGCATTGGATGGAAAAACATAACAAAAAAGTATTGATTGCGCATACAACTAGACATAAAAACAAATAACATTTTTAAAAGATCAAAATCAAAAGAAGAACATTTGAAACAGCGTAAGTATCACTAATACCTAATGTAAGATAAAAACGGTCAGACACAAGAGTAGAGATAGAAGTGAGAAAAAATGGAAAAATAACTATCGTAAGGGCCGTTCATAGGGTGCATGACCAAAACATTATTATCTTGAGCTCCTTTGTGCTTCAGAATGCAGGTTAGCCATTATGGACCATTGACCCTACTCGATTCGATCTCAACCATAGGAAAGAAACAATTCTCCTGATATAATTTCCCACGCAGAGTCGCGGGCACAGCTAGTTATTGAGTAAAATCACACTCTTTCAAATTTTTATTAAATTAAATTCTACGTATGATAGAGCTCATATCTAGCGACAAAAAGTTACTTATGCTGTTAATTTATGATGTCTTTGCCACATTCATGAAATATTTGTACTCATTTCAAACATATCACAGAGTACAAGTTTAGTACATAGCAAACAAACTCTTAACGTACGTTGAGCTGCATCTGCACTCATAAAAACCGACCTATCTGACACTCAAAGTATGCTTCCCTTGGCACGCTCGACGGATGTTCAGTTAGATTTGCACCGACCCTAACCCAGAACGTAGAATATTTTATTTTATGACTAGCAACCCGACCCGTCTTCGTGCAGATGCCATTTACATTGTAGTTACGATTTATCCAATATCTACAAGCTGAACTGAACCTTCCTCATGAATTACTTCGTCCTTTGGTAAAAACTGCTTAAATATTCGTTCCGTATAATTGAGTTTATCCCGTTCGAACATACTCATTTGTGGCTTAGTTATTTTATTTTATAATTTCTAGCCAAGACTCTAGCTCTAAAAGTTAAGATCTTTGACAACATAGTGTGCTCAAGGATCTTAACTTTTTATGATAAAAATTTATTCTTTGATATATCTTTTGGTGGATAAATAAGATGAGTATGGATTTAATAGCCCATATCGAACTCATAGTAATCTTTCTTTAGCACTCGTTTCATTAGGTTTTATAGATAGATACATAGAAGAGGATAATTTATGTCATACTCAATTGAAAAGTGGAAATCACGTGATAGCTTAGATAAAACATCTTAAAATACGAAATTGTTTATTTTTTAGAAATGATATTGCCAATAAAATTAGTTAGCGTGATGTATCGAACTCAATTGAAAAGTGGAAATCACGTGACAGCTTAGATAAAACATCTTAAAATACGAAATTGTTTATTTTTTAGAAATGATATTGCCAATAAAATTAGTTAGCGTGATGTATCGAACTCAATTGAAAAGTGGAAATCACGTGACAGCTTAGATAAAACATCTTAAAATACGAAATTGTTTATTTTTTAGAAATGATATTGCCAATAAAATTATTTAGCGTGATGTATCGATAGATACATAGAAGAGGATAATTTATGTCATACTCAATTGAAAAGTGGAAATCACGTGACAGCTTAGATAAAACATCTTAAAATACGAAATTGTTTATTTTTTAGAAATGACATTGCCAATAAAAATAGTTGACGTGATTGACTTCATGGACTTAAAGACCTTTCTGTAGAATCAATTGCTAGCCTTGTCTGTATATTCTCCTATTCGCGCCCCATGCAATACCTATTTATATATTTTTTTTATCAGATTGTTTGAACATTATGCATTAATTCCGAAATAATCTTCTCCATTTTGAATACACAAGAATCATATCAAACATTTATTCATAAACTATTACTTGACAGTGGTGGGCGGGTAATTCTACTTTTAAAGAAAAAAAATATGAAAATCTCGGTATTTTTATTTAAAATTAATTTTAATAAATTGATCAACTAAAACTACCAATGGCATTACTGGAAACAGAGATCCTGACGTAGTAATTTGACAAGAATAAGGCTACACGTTACAGATATGACAATATTCTATATTAGTAGTTCTGAATAACAATAAAAAGAAATAATTTTAATTTCAAAGTAAAATCAAGTAATATAAAACCAACCGAAATTATCGTAATAAAAATTCTCATATTTTTGATTACACGGAAATTATGTAACAAACGTTATCCTTTAATTGCGTCAGACAAGTGATAATAAAAAAACTTCAGTTTCTTATGTCTCATTAATCACATAAAGTAAAATTTTGATCTGTGCTTATTATGTACTTGTTCTTTACGAATTTCACGTTTTTTGCTTCATTATTTTCTTTCATATGTCGAGTGTGACGATCGATTGCAACTAAAAATATAACTAGTAAAATTAATTATAGAAAGTTTTTTTTATATGTTCAAAACAAAAAGCACAATAATTATTCCTATTTTAAATTATATGTTAATTAATTAAAGGCAAAAATATAATGAAAATAAATAAACATCATTTCCGTAATCTCGCACCATTACTGTTAACAGAACGTGGCGATCACAGAAACGATAAAATTTTAAAACGTATACCAGTTGGAATCAATGTCAAGGTCAAACTAGTCGGTCTTAGGTGAACATTATAACAATCATTGTAATAGATGTCGCCAAAGCAGAGTTGTTTAAAATTTCAATGAATTTACCTTGAAGCAGCCTGAGCAGAGATGCCACACCAACTTATACACGTTAAAAATCGTAAATAAAATAGATTTTTGTTACTAAATTAATTCTAGCACCGATCCAGTTTGCAGTCGTTCCGTAAATTACAGATATCGTAGTGTCGTCACTTCATAAAATGTTGCCCATAAAATAATTATTACTACCTTTTTATTACAAAATTACCTTAGATTAGAGAAATTATTTAAAAATTGTAGCAAAAGTAGAATCGCGTAAGTTATATTGTAAGACAAAATTGAAATATATATTGCCAGTAAATTATATTACTACAATTTCCGTGAAATAAGCAAAATCTGAAATTCAATCATTATATTTTTCTTTAGTACCTTTATATGGAAACCTGTGAAATACACAGATAACAGAACGTGACCTTCGCACATTCAAAAATTAGTTAAAAATAAATATTTGATCGAATATCATTTATTAATAAATTTTTTTTTTTTATTGACTGCACACTTTTTTGCAGTAGAATAGAATGACCCACGTAATTCATTTCATAATCCAACACTTATACAATTAAGTTAATGCAAATAATTTATGATAAATATTCTAAATTAATTATTGCAACAATTACTGAAAACAATTTATTTTAATTAATAACAATTATATTTAAAACACACTCCTCAGCATACACAAAAAGTTTCTTATTACAGTCGTTCCGTTACAGTTTATAACATTCGCCTTCGTCGTGTTCTTAGGGTTCAATAACAATGTTCTGTCAACTTTGGCATTATTGTTTGCACTTGCGGATTTTACTATCCAAGGAGTCCATAGATAGTCGAAATTTGCAGGATCAGATTGCAGTTGGAGGTTAGGTGGTCCCCTTCTCTTCTGCGACGCCCACAAACCTCGTAGTCTACTCGTCAAAAGAACGGCTATTTTATTAGCAGCATCCCACAGATCATGACTCTCTGAAGGATCTCGACGTACATTGAACAGGCAACCGCGAGCTAAAACAAAAGGAATATTCATGTTTTATTTCTTTAATCGGTATTCTGAACTTTTAGTTATTTTCTCAATCCTACATCGACCAATATCGTTCAATGACATTCTTTGTCTTGTATTATTTTCACATATTTTCATCATGGTATGCAACTTTTTTGAAAAAATATATATATATTTTAGCTCGACTTAATTAAATAAATTTTAAATAAATTAACCTATTTTAGGAAATGCTCTCATACATATTCTTGATCTTACTAGCTTTATCTACTAATAGATCAGTCATTGTCATTGATAAATACGTACTAGATGGACTAATTTGGCATTTTATAAAATTTCGATGTTGTTTCAAGAATTTTATAGGTAAAATCATGTTATTACATACTAGGTACTTATTAATACTTTGGACAGAATTATTCCAGTCAGCTAGTTAAAGGTTATTTACTATGTGTGCTAATAATACTTACAAGGAGAAGGTACACATGGCGTTGGATCTCTGACAGGATCTTCTTGCTTTAATGTCGATGCAGACCTTTTCGCAAAAACGTCGAAATAGTCCAAATACATTCCCATACCTTCGAACATTCTCGCGACTTCACATGACGTTAGGGAAGAAAAATATTCAGGTGGCTGTCGCTTATTAGTCATAAGGTCGGCACCATAATATTCATTGCTCAACCCAGACACATTGCCGACAACGATTTTGTAATCACCCGCTCTGTAGGCTGCGTAAACATTCCTATCACTATCTTCTACGGTCAAAAGAACTTCCCTCCTATTAGATTCACTGTCTCGTATTATAGATTCCCACTGATTCACTCCATCAATTTTCCCTTTAAATTGTCCGCCTGCTGCAGCAATTAATGTAGGCATCCAATCACTTATATGCATCAATCCGTTCCAAATTCTTGGTTGAAATGACGAATGCCAAATGAAAGCCGGTACCCGTACTCCTCCTTCCCAAGGCGTGTATTTTTTACCTCTCAACGGGAGATTCACGCCCCAATTATTATTGTCTCCTACTGTAGGCGCTCCGTTATCAGAAACAAATATAATTATAGTATCGTCAAGGATACCCTTCTCTGCTAGAGCTCGTACAACCCTTCCGACACTTCGATCGATGCCATTTACTATCTCTGAAAATTTCATAATTAAAGATAAGTTAGATAATGACAGTATATATTAAATTAACGTTTACGGTTGTTCTTCGTTATCATTATTTATATAAAAGAGGTCGTAAATTAATTATGTAACAGTGGGTAGGTTAGGTTAGGTAACTATATTAACGTTAGCCTGATATCAAGATCAAAGACTTCAAAAATTAACTGATTTGGAAGTACAGCATAAGCTCCTCTTCAATTATACCTCTGCATCTGGACTTAACCTTATCTTGACACAATACTCATTTCTTAAACGATAATCAAAGCTGCGGTCGTATTAGCTGCAAAGCAACAATCACACCAGATCTATTTCTGAATTTAAAAGTCATCCACAACAAACAATCCACTTATTGTATTAGGTTTTTGATTCCAATGTTCGTCGTATCTAGTATGTATGTAATGCGTGAAATCATAGTATTACTTAATATTATATATTAAAAATTGAAATAAGGGGAAATATATTTAATAGCTCAATCCTAAAAGTACTATAGTATTGCTTCCTTAAAAGGTACCTGCGTACAGCCGTCTATTAGAGTTAGCTATGTGCTTGTTCTTGATAGGAGAGTATAGAGGCGGCTGAAGTGGTCCACCGGTATTCCCTGCGTGTGGGGCATTGTGTGTAACGTGCAGGAAAAGTGGGCAAGTCGTATTGTGATGCTGGATTACTGGAAACATATAATAAAGGATGCTATTCATCATCAGCCTAATTATGTTCGCACAGATGGGGCTCAGGCCTTCCTTATGGATGGAATTGATACAGGTCGAATAAAAAGAATTCTTATTAGTAAGGGCACATATAATATGTGTTCGTATAATCCAAAGGCGTTCGATTTTTTACATTGTTACATATTCTGTTATACGTTTTAACTAATAAAATAAACAGCTAGAGAATCATACACATCATATGAAATCGAATAAGTAACTGACTCTTATGTCTACAATTTAATAACATAATAATCGGTTCATAAATGTTTCAAAAAACATAAATCAAACATCTGAATACAGATAAGCTCATCTGTCGCTACTAAAACCCGTTTAGAAATCTTGAAATGTAATCCTAATGCAATGCAAATGTAATTATTTGCCCGCACAGCAGTCGGGACTAGTATCATTATAAAAAATTATTTCTGAATTTCATCTCTTCATAAATATTATTAAATTACGTGGCTTTAAAATATTATCGTGACTTATCGTTTCACTTAAAATATATAACGCAATAAAACCATATGTAAAGTTCTTACACTTGAACAAATGCATGAGGTCATGCATTTGTTCAAGTGTAAGAGACATATTTTTCTTCTTAAGTGTAAATATTTAATTTATGAACTAATTTGTATCAAAAAATATAAATTAATGTTAAATATTATATTAATAAAAAGATAAATGCAATAAATATATAACATGTGAATAATATTAGAGTAGGTGTTTCAATATTGACAAAACCATTAATATTCCCAAAAACTTTAAGTTAATAACTAAAGGTAAAAGAACTCGTGACAAAAGTGTGTAAGATTTTTGTAACGGTTGGTACTTCATTCTGGAAATACTAATATAATCACACATCACCATGTGCGGAAATTAACCTGAAACACTTGATGACGTGAGCGCTGAGTTGTATGTATAGTAACATGCATTTAAATACTTCTCAATTATATATAATCCATTTTACATTCACAATGTTACAATGGAAAATACTCTAATGAAAAATGCTTAAATAATGCACCAGCCCCAGGTCTATGAGATGGGACATCCATTCCATCATTTTTGATCATTGATTTTTCATTAAGAATATTGATTAATTATTAGTAAATTATCACGAGAAATTTAAGCAGAAAATACTCACACATCTATCTATTGCAATAATCACATTCACCAACCCCTACAAATTTGTTAACGCCTCCGATCTGGATACAGAGTGATGTCACATCACCACCACCACCAGCCCTTTTACGTCCCCACTGCAGGGGCTCAGGCCTTCCTTATGGATGGTTAAGGAGGATGGGCCATGACCCTCCACGCTGGCCCAATGCGGATTGGAGGGTATTAACGACTGCAAATGCAGCCGGGACCAACGGCTTAACGTGCCTTCCGAAGCACGGAGTAGCTCGAGATAATAATTTTTTTGGTCACCCATCCCGTGACCGACCCTTGCGAAAGTTGCTTAACGACTACGATCGCGGGCCACGGCGCTTATCCACTACGCCACCAAGCTACTCACAATGTTACAATGTAAAATATGTAATAATAGAGTGATGTGAAGTAATGTTAATATTCGATGCCCTTTTAAAATTAATATAATACTCACTTTTAACAGCTCGATCTGTCAAAGCATCCAAAATATATCGTTGCTCATCTTCTTGAGGTATATCGTTATCATAGAGATCCATACCATACAATATTCTGCCGTCAGGCCACTAGAACATAGTTGCATTCAAATTGTTACTTTTTTCCTGTTTCGTTTTATGTATAATATACTTTATATTTTATTGAACATAAACATATTTAAACTTATTATGAATTTTATTATTTAAGGAGGCAGTAAATACGTAGCATGATGCATTAATAACATGTGCAGTATCGTAATGGTGAGATATCATATTATTACTGTACATTAGGGTAATACGACCTTTTTAATGAGATCGTCTATGTGTTACAAGTTTCTATATAATTCGCAATGTTAGTTAATTTAACCCGTATCGCGGTTTTGGATAGAGCTAAAATTTGCTTTTCGTCAAGCAGTCAGAAAAATATAATCACAATTCAGTATTAATAAGCTAATCGCATGCTGAAGCTAAAAGGTAGTCTTGAAACATGTTTCAGCTCGTTAAATTTATTTAAAGACGGACTTTTTTCGAGAATCAACTCGTCCAGGATCTGATGATGGAACTAAATGGATGTAATAGGAAATTTCCACCTTTTGGCTCGTTCGACTTGCTCGTGCAAGATCTCGAGCCGAAGTTAATATCCAACAAAAACTTATTTTGAAAATAAAGTTTACTTTCTCGAATAATATTTAAAAATAGAAACGAACTAGGAAGAAGTATTTTTTAGTTTATCGCGAACCAACATTTCGATTAGACTAGACGTATTATTTAATGGTTATCACGATTACAATCACTTTCAATACCACAATAGTTTATTATTGAAACTCCAAAAAGGGATGTCGTCGATTCCAAATTTATTTGCTAAAATAATCATTAATAATAGAAATTGCAAATAAACATGAAACGAACAACCGAGATCAATTAAAATGTAAAACTTTATTTCCAATATTGACAACATCAGTATCAGATCAGTTAATGATCAACAGGTCTTCTAATGCACACTAGATATATTTACCAGCGTGACAACAATCTTTCTATGGAGGTCGTTATGAGTCATGACTTACATAGTTACTAACACAAATAACACAATACATTATAATACAACAACAAAACAACAGTTAAAAAATGTAAGGTTAGTCACGCAAAATCTTAGCTTACCCTTTCTACTTTGTTATAAGTGTAGTAGTCAATAAATCCTCCCCTCATGCCGTAATGAGTATCGTATCCCCTAGAAGTAGGTAGATACTCCTTTCTAGACATTCCAACATGCCATTTGCCCACCAGGTGTGTAGAATAACCCAGCTCTTTGAGGTAGGAGGGTAAAAGGCGTTCTGGTAAAGGTATTCCCCTGTCTTCCGAATTGTATAGTGGGAAACCCTGCATGCCTATAAAACAATAATGAATTACATTAATAGGTTTTCACTAATCTGCTAACATACTATAACTTAATATATATTATATATATACCTTAACGTTAAATAGGTTGATTATATTACAAAATTTATTAATTTATTAAATACCAAATCTCAAAATTTTCGAATAAGCTTTGTTTTTAACAGATTTAGTGAATTAAGATAAAAAATACACTCACAAGCATTCAAATCGATTAACTACATAATTGCGCGAACATTTTAATTTATTTAAACTATAACACAAAAATAAACTATAAAACACGAATCTATCATAAAATAGAGAAAGAAGGAGCAATACTAAACAATTATTTTGTCATATTCTCTTTTAACGATTCATATTCATTAACTTATATAAAAAAATGCCATATGTCATGCCAATAAAAAACTGAAAGTATTTTTTATGTATTTGAAACAGTGTTTTTACTTAACAACTTCCACGTAAAAAAAGAGATTGGGTCACTATAAATTCTATAAACAAGGAAATACTATTTTCATTGACATTATTTCGTGATACAAAACTGTAAGCCACTTCAAATTTTACGTAATTTTCACTTACGTAATATTAAAACTACATTATGTCTAATATCTAGATCGTTATATAACACTAGGGTGGTAATGATTAAACTTAGATCGTACACATATTATTACCATGGCCCGACTGCTAATTTATCGTATCAGGTAATAAAGGCTTATATAAACACTACTTACCTTTCTTGAGTTCATTTAAGTAAGTATAGTTTAGAGAATAATATTTAAAATCAATCCTTAATACTTCCAAACACTTCCAATCAACGCAACGGTACACTAGCTCACTCACCTAATCGCATTGGATATTTCCCAGTGAGAAGGGCAGTCCTCGCAGGTGTGCAAATAGCCTCGCTGTAGTACTGCTGCAGAATAACACCCCGGTACGCCAGTGTATCAATATTTGGAGTGAGGATCTGGTCTGAACCGTGGAATGACACGTCATTCCATCCCTGAAAAATCATAAGCAAATATTGCAAAAACCTTCAGTGAACTTCGCTTTCTCTCTTGATATTTGACATACAGAGCATACTGAAATATCCTATAATTTTGGCTGCTCTTGACGCAAAATAGTCATCCGTCTCGATTCAAATATATGACCACTCTAACGCCTAACGTATTCTCTACCATCTGAGCTGTCAACAACTCTCTTTCCTTTTTTTAATATATTGAAAATGCGTTACGCCACTGCCATGTTGGATCCTCAGGTATGAGGTAGGTAGGATATGCATAATTCGTTTCTCTTCGATAAAATGGCAGTGGTTAACGTCTACATATCATGGTAATTTCAAAGTCGTTTGAAATTTTTAAAAACTAAGGACCACTATTAGTACCTCCTCGGACAAAGATCGCAACAGCATCCTTCGTGACCCTGCAAAACGAGGCCTTGCCTCACAATAATAAATTTCAACAATCAAATTCACTCTCAACAGTCAGCATGTTCAAAATTAAAATCAATTAAAAATTCCAATAATTAGCTATTAAATTGTCACGTGACTTTACGTCGCGTGACAATTGTATTAATGAAATTAAACACAATCTCGCTTATAATTGGCTATCTCATTATTCAAATCATCAATGTAATTATATGGTATGTAGCAATTCAAACACTGTATATTGATAACCGTGCCAATTTTTAACCGACTTCAAGTAAGGAGGTTATCAATTCGAGGTGTATGTATGTAATTTCGTTGGAATGGCGTCTGTATAACCTTCTAAGCACGTGTGAATTTTTTTATTGAAGTATGTGTGTCTGTATGTTTCGTAATTAGTTATTTTCTCTTTTTTAATTAACTATTCATCAACTTAGGGAACATAGTAATTATCTTATGCTGTTACTTACTAAATGACTTAAGAAACGAACTGCTACATTGCTACCAGAATAGTGGGTTAGGTTAAGTTAGAACTAAGACCCTATAACAGAAAATATTTATCCAATTAATTACCTTAATCCGTTATTAGTAGTTAGTAATTTGGATCGGTGACAACTTTTATTAATAAAAAAAGGAAATAATAAAAAACAACTCAGAACAGATACATTTTTTTAGGTCGATTCCAGCAGCAGGATATTTATGAAAAAATATCATGTAAGGTAAAAAGAGCAAAATAATTACTTAAGACACATTTTCTGCTAATGCAGTTTTACTGCTGGCACCGACCTCAAAAAAAAATATGTATCCACATTTTGTGTTTCGATTTTATTTAAGATAAAAAAATTGTTGTATTATTTCTCTCTTTTCAGTTGATTATCTTTATTACGACTCTGAATTCGGTTTAATTTTTAAAAATTATTTTTGTATATAACATAGAAAAAACGTTAAGTCGTTCAGATAAGTGATATCCTTATAAATCATTGTGTAAACAATACAAGAACAATTTCGTTTGATAATTGTATTTTTAAAGCATAGAAAGGTGTTTGCTGAGTTTTAATTGACTGCAATAAAGAGAAGTTTCCTGTTCGACTGTAGGTATGTTTAAATGTTGTTATTCAGTTTTGATTATAAAAAAGATTTATAGTTGCTTGTCATGTAATTTCAAATTAATTTGAATAAGGTCAGGGGGCCAATTCTACTAAATAAATTTTGTTTAAATCGAATCGAAAACGGATCGAACCCGAAAGAAACTACAGTTTTTAATGGTTTTTCTATTCTACTAAGTGACATAAGATACAGTTTCAGCTAAAATAGGACTGGAATTGTATCGTATGTCACTTTGTAGAATAGAAAAATAATTAAAAACTGTAGTTTCTTTCGGTTTCGATCCGTTTTCGATTCGATTTAAACAAAATTTATTTAGTAGAATTGGCCCCTAGCCCTCTTACTGTCGAATGCAATCGCGGCCGATCACCATTGCAATTGTGCCTTTTCATACTCTTGATGTGTAGCTACACTAGCGCGTGCGTTCGAGAGTAAGGGGGCTGATCAATATTAGTTTATTTTCTAAAATAACTAGTGATGTTACTTATATACAGATGATAATATTGTTCTTGAAGATTGATCAGTATTTCTTTGTCACAATCCGTTAATCAGAAAAAACTAAAATAAAACCAACTTAAAAATAATAAGGATTTTCAAAGTTTTGTCACGCTTTTAAGAATGATTTTCGATTTTTATTCTGGATTTTGAAAGCTTCAAAAAACAAGCTGAAGTGGGGCAGTTAATATTAATTACTTACTCAAAACCCCGGGCTAAATTCAATACAATTTTCTTGTGAAAAGGAAAATGTACTACTGACTATTTATATTTTACTAAAGCCTCTTTTACGAAGTGTAATATAATAATAAATAATTGATAATTTTAGTAATCACTAATCACAGAACAGTTTCGATGTGTTGCCATGTCTGAGCTGCAAGGTTCGGTTGCCCGTAGACACTTCAGAAAATGAACTCTCATCATCAGCCCTTTTTACGTCCCCACTGCAGGGGCTCAAGCCTTCCTTATGGATGGTTAAGCTGGCCCAATGCGGATTGGAGGGTATCAACGACTGCAAATGCAGCCGGGACCAACGGCTTAACGTGCCTTCCGAAGCACGGAGTAGCTCGAGATAATAATTTTTGGTCACCCATCCCGTGACCGACCCTTGCGAAAGTTGCTTAACGACAACGATCGCGGGCCGCGGCGCTTATCCACTACGCCACCGAGCTACTCCCATATAGAATATTGTATTACTGTTTAACCAATATATTATCAAACATACCATATCATCAACCATGATGAAAACGATGTTTGAACCACGTTGAGCATATGTTGATACTACAAACAACTGCAGAAGAAACCACGAGCTTGACCTGAAAAGCATTTCATTTATTATGGGCTATACGTTGATATTTCAATCAGTGATTAACGGCCTGTTTCCAAATTGAGAAAAGTACAAAATGTCGACTGATTAATTTCAATAACTTAAGTTTTTTTACGTTTCACATGGCAAAAAGTCCTACTTTTATTATCCTGCTGACTGACATCAAGTGACCATTAAAATATTAATATTAGAAACAAAAACCTGTTTAAGTGACGTTTGTAATGACTTAAGTACGATTTGAGACGTTCTTTGCTTTTAATTCTCAATTCAGGAACCGTAAGTCAATTTAATATTATTCAAATGTATAGGTATATATTATACTAAATAACTGTACTATAATATACTAAAGTATAGTTTTATTAATGCTACCAATACGCATAAAGTTTATTCATACTTAACTGTGACTTCCACAACAGTTAAAGCTGAAAAATATGCTTTTAAAGGAACAAAAATATCTAAAGTAATATTATAAAACTGAAGAGTTTGTTTGTTTGTTCCAATGAGCGCGCTAATCTCAGAACTTACTGGTTCTATTTGAAAATTTGTTATTATGTTAATTGAGGGAGGCTATAGGCTATATAACATCACGCTTTGACTAATAGGAGTGGATTAAAAATTCTAGTACCTAATTCAAAATTCTGCAGAAACAGGAAAATCATACAGAGTAAGCCGCTGGCGGAAAGCTATTTATTATAAGTAACATAACAAAAATACTCATTATCAAAAGGTATATTGCAAAAACTACTATATTTACTATACAAGGAAATTTTTATCACTAAAAGAAATTTGCTAAGCCTTTTAATATCCTATTAATTTGAAGATTGACTTGGTTACTTTTACCACATACCTACTAAAAGTATGGAAAATTTATATTATCTAGATTACGATGCCTGGTGACATCATTTTACAGTTTCATAATGTTTAAATTAAGGATTAAAACTTAATTAGTATCTCTAATCTAAACACAATTTTTCGCAGTTACTTCAGACAAGTTTTCTGTCATCAAATAAAAGTTTTATCGTACAATCAAAAAAGAAAATGAAGGTTCAATTGTTCTTAGAGTTAGATTTTCATATGAGAAGTAAAAACTATAAGCAACTGAAATCGAAATAGAATTTGTAACATGAACAAACTATTCTTACCCACGGTTATCCGATGGTGTTTATAAAAACTTCTTCTACTAGATAAAAAATAAAACTTGCGTGCATAGGAATAATGATTATAAAAAAACAATTCGGTGCCGATTCGTCACGGAGACTACAAAGTTAGTAAAATATAATCTGTTTAGATTTGATGTTGGAATCATTGACCTCTGTGGACGTACTCTGTTTCTCAAAGAACTAAATTTAAGAAAATTTCGAAATGAACTATTAATTTTTTTCTTCAAAATTTTTTCTTCGAAGAAATAGAGTAGGACCTCTGTTTTCATCTTCATTTTCTGGGACCATGGTGGTCCCTTCTTCAATGCTAAAGATGATCGATTGGTACTATCATAATCAGTGGTCGGAATTAGGTAGAGTTATTCATGTACTTACACTGATTTCATACAGCGAAAGAATAAAGTGGATATGCCTCAAATCCCGAGATTAATTTTAAAGAGCAGAAAAAATCCCGTGATTTTTTAAATAAAAAGTTATTTACTTTTACACAATTTAAACTACTGCACGCACGACGTTGCCAAACTTACATCAATGAAAGAAAGAAATAAAGAAATCCCGGGAAGGTTCACATTAATATCAACATTTTGATGCAAGTACATAAATAACTCTACCTAATTCCGACCTCTGATCATAATCCTTAATGAATTATAAGATACTGAAGGTACTGAATTATAAGTGTGAAGCTACTTAAAACTTATTGCGTAATCGACTTCTAAATCAAAAAAGTGGCGTCTTTTTTTTAACAGGTATTGTGTTTTTTATAAATTATATGTTCACCAATTTCTCCGCAAATTTAAGACCGACTTACAAAATTATTTTTATACGAAACCTTAGAGGATTAATATGGTTATATAAAAAAACGAAAATAGATAAGCGTTCTTAGAACCAAATTTCTGAATGTATTCTTCCAAATAACAAATTACTTAGACGACATGTTGAGTATCAACGTATTAACAAAATCGTGTTATGCTTTTTTACACTTTAAAGTTATTTACATGCCTTTTAGTGATATTGATATTTTTTATATAATAGGTAACACTAAAAATACTTTTCTGAAAACCGCATCAAAATCGGCTTAGCGAAACGCGAGATAATTGCGGACAATACATACAATACGTGTTAAAGTTCGAACTACCAGTTTTAGTCTGTTGTCAGCCTACAACCTTCTCCTAACTCTGACAAATACTATGCAGAAAACTGCATTAAAATCGGGTCAGCCAAACGCTAGATAATCGCGCATAAGCATGTATATATCGCACACCTAGATCTAAACTGAGACAACTCAAAAATTTGAGCGAGTTTTGACTTAGTACAACATTCAAATACTTGGTGATCATACGCATCTATCCAACATAACAGATTAAATAAAGGTTCGGGGATGAGCCACTAGATAACTTTAGCTTTTTTTTGTTGAATCAACAGTGGTCGGGCTCCTGCCACGTAAACAAATGTATTGTCAAACCTCCAAATTAGTTTTTTGAGTTGTCTTAGTTTAGATCTAGGTGTGCGATATATAGGTCAAATTGAGAACCTCCTTTTTTAGAGCCGGTTAATATATAAATCAATTCCTTCCCTTGAAGTCAGGCAGAGATTCTGCCTAAGTTATTAAATTAACCACCCGACTTCAATGAAAATTGCTTGAACATATGAACAGCCTTTGAAATATTACGCTATTTTCAATTCAGTTTTATAGTTTATAAAAAGAATTGCCAGTTTAGATTTAAATTTAATAAAGGTGAACACTTTAGTGAACTCAATGTCATTACATTTACTTTTACCAAAATAGAAAGTCACGAATTAATTAAAAACGTTACCAATTGATATTAAAAATATATGTATAATATTATATCTTGTTAATAGAGTCCGATTATAATTGCGAGTTAACAAAAAAAATAATTCCGTAAAATTAATTAAAAGTGACATACGAAATAAAGCACGACGAGTCTTTTGTAAATCACTGATCTAGATTGAGTGATAGTTCATTTTTTGTTAGACTACTATATTATTACATCAATTTGTTATTTAAATTCTTTCACAGTATAATAATAACATTTAGGGTCACGTAAACGGTAGAAAAAATCAATAATTTATTACTCGCGACAATGATTAACGCTGTTATAATATTGATAAATAGAACTCGGTAGGGTGATATATGTGAGTATTTTGTATGTAAATTTCATTTACAAATAAATTTAAAAAATAGGTACCCAGGTGTCTGAAATGGTATACGAAACCAAAAACTTTTACAAAGGCGACTGCCGCACTTAACTAAGTTGACTAACTCGTACTCGACGTACCGTTTCAGATATGTCATAGGCGATATACATATGTAAATTCATGTCTAGTACTTGGAACGGCTCAGTTTCACATCAAAACCCCACTAAGCAAAAAAAAACGGTAATTAAATTTATTCAGCACAGGCCACAGAAATATTTTTCTATCATTTCTGTAGGCTGCAAAACTACATTAAATAAATCTACAAGTATCATAATTATCCTTCAAATAAACACAGAGAATATCTGATAATGCTCTTGAATCAAAACTCTTCGGTATGCCGCGCTAAATTTACATATAAAAAAAATTCACCGTTAAATTCGTTTCAGGAAGCTTGATAAAACTTTACCGTATATAAAAACGTTCGCTAAATATGTTTCTAAATGTAAGATATATTCAATTAATTCATTTGAAGTCGAACGCAATTTAAATGAAAAGAAAAAAATTAAATAAATTATTTAAAACAACACTTTGGCGGTAAGAAGCTCACCGGGTTAGCTAAGTATAATATAAACTAATTATTTAATACTTTTCTTAATAATTAACTGCGGGCAATGCCTATATTCTTTAATACCGTTCATAAATAAATAAGCAAAACTGTTAATATATAAATATTAAGTATTAGATTCTAACAATATTGACTTACCATAACTTTACAGCATTCAAAGTCATTGCTGCGATAATATTTTACCATCCGCTACAACGTACAAATTAATATTGTAACATTATCACATCATACATTTGGTTTTTCCTCACTCGACATTGTAAGTCAAACACGAAACAATAAAAGAAAAACTTATTTATACATTTGGTACTCAAATAGGGGTGACCGTCCCGCGCTAACGTTCGAAGGAGACAGTTCTCAGGTTCTTGGAGGCTGTCTGTATTGTGAAATGTAAGCACGCGCTAACAATTCAGTTGAAGGTCTTGATATTGAAAATTGTGAATGAATAACAATAACGTATATTGAGGCACAGCAACAAACTGTTACGTTTAAAAGAGAAATCATGAATTTCTCAACTCTCGCATGCGTTATTACTCCGAATTTTCCTATGTATACTAAAACAGAAATAAAAACTTTACGCTGTATATAAATGAAATCCATGAAGGGATTGTTAGAACTTGTTATCAAATTAACATATAAATTGTATTAATTAACAATGTTGAAAAAGATCAAGCGGGTATAGTTTAGAGATTTTTTTTACAATTTAAAACTTTTAAAAATATAGGTACCTGCGAATATACGAGCTTAAACTCGTTCAAAAGTTTTAAAAATATAGGTACCTGCGAATAAACGAGCTTAAACTCGATCATTATTTTCATTTAAATGTTTCTCATAAATATAATAAACATCACATATTGATTTTAATACTATGGTATTCTTTTTTTAATTTGACTTAAATTGTTCTCTGGAAACAATTTAAAAATCGTGAGACATTTTAATTTTATTGATTTTAACACCTAAATGTTTTTACTTACGTAATAATACTAGCACATTTCTAAATAAATGGAACATTCTTAACAGGAAAATACGTAAATTGCGCTTAAGTAAATATTGCGCTGATTGAAAGTGTTTCCGTGGTTGAAAAAATTGTCTTAACTCGGTGAGCAAAGTGCGTGACATGATAACCTCAACTTGCTCAATGATTCACACAATGATATTGTTATACTGTCTTAATTCTTCTATTCAAAAAATTATTCTGGTAAAGAACCTTGTAGCATTAAAATTATACGATTTTTTTTATTCTTTAATGTATATTAAGTATTAATTCATTTTAATGCGATGTACTACTTTCCTTTTCTTGTAGTTTCCCACTATACATAGTATTAGACAAAAATATTCTTTTACAGAGCTTATAAGGAAGGGCATTGCGCAATAAACGTAGTTTAAATTGTAGTGAATATAAATTTCATAATGTGTTAATCGAGCCAATAATTCATCATTGTCACCAGCCTACTAATGTGCCCACTGCTGGGGCTCAGGTCTTCCCTATAGATGGAATCGAATAGGGAGAAGGGGCCATGACCCACAAAGCGGGTCCAGTGCGTGTTGGTTGCTAACAACTGCAGATGCAGCCAACGACTTGACGTACCTTCCGAACCACGGAGGAGCTAGAGATCGTGCTTTGGAAAGCACGATCTCTAGCTCCTCCGTGGTTCGCACAGAAGAGCTCAATATAATAAATCACCCATCCTATGATACATGCGAAATTTTCTTAACAATCGTATAAATAACGACTGCGTCATGGATATTATTAGAATAATCATTATCATTACCCCTATTAAAGATTCATTACCCTCTTATTATTGTAAGTTTAAAACTTAATTTTGACATGAAATATGAAACAAAGTAAACAAAAAGGTTACTATAAATCGAATCACAATGTCGAATCTGTTTTTTATCCTCTTAATCGGACTGATGTGCTCTCAACTGTATCCTACCTAATCAGTAGTTTCATTTATGAACTCTTAATAGTACTACCTATTCTAACTATCACTGGCTATTTAATTAAAAATGTTACTTGTGCTAATAAAAGATTTACGAGTTCATGGAATATCTTATATTCGCTCTTCAACCAACTTTGGAACCTTGTAACTTTTAAATAATATATAGACGCTGCATACAAATTAGTCTCAATTTAAATATCAAGTTACAATTTTATTATAATTAAGAACCTACAACGAAACGCAATTAGATTTTTTTAAATTTAATTTATGCGATTTTTTTGTTCTACCGCATATCGAAAAAGATAAAATCGCGATAAAAAAAGGTCGCATTGGATGAATTTACCAACAAAAACGAATCCTTGGCCGTGACTTTAACCACGGTAATGCCGGCTAAGAAGTATTGATATGACGATATTGATAAAACCCCTTTACTCAATATAAATTGCCGGATATTACCCTTGCATTGTTTCCGTCATTTGTGGGGCAAAGCAAAAGTTTTGCCACTCAAGGTCTCCCGATACCTACCTATTTTGTGAGTCGTTGATTAGTCTCATTACGTAGTGTTCCAAATTAGTAACGCAAGTCAAAAATATTATGTCATTGAAATCTATTTTTAAATTGACGTAGGATATTTGATTACGTCAATTTGTACAAAAGACTGTAAAAAATTAAGAAGGGTTGTAAAGCCAAAAACTATCCCTGTCTATTTTATAAAGTCCGGCTTCATAGCCGGATCTCATGATTGAAAGGGACACCATCCTTTATGTATTGAATAGTGCCGATAACTCCCTCGGCTAAAGAGTGAGAACTTACCAAAGTTACATTAAAGTTCAATTTACCCTAAAAATAGCATAATTATAATATGAAATTTAAAAAATTTAGAATTTTCGGCGTCACTTTGTAATTTTTCTATTTAGAAAATTTTCTGAAAGAACCCTTGGAAATTCGATGTTATTTTTATACTTTAAATTAGACTTTATTGGATGTTATTTTCTTGTACAAAACCAATTGAATAATTATCATTTTGGGTGTACCCACCCTCTTAACTACAAGTATAAAATAAAAGATATATACAAATACAAAATGAGGACTAACTTTGAGCTATCCCTATCTATCTCATTCCACCCGACTATGAGAAAAAGTAGGGTCGAGGATGGCGAATTGCGTGTCAAAAACTATTTTCCATTAATTACGATTATTATAAAAGTTCTCTATAAAGCCCGCCAACTATGTCTTCCAAATTTTATCAATTTTCGATTTAATAAGAAAATATATAATTATATGAAAATTAAATGAAAACAAATGGTTCCTTTTGACTTTGTATAATTTTCTAAAGAGAAGATTTTATAAATTTCCCTTTTTACTTTCATGGGTACCTTTACATAATATATTACGAGTATGTAATTTTTACATCTTTGATTATAGCTTATTTTATAAATCGTATTATATCTTAGGACATTTCTAAGATTTACCGTTACTCCTAGGCTATATATACAGTAGTTTTAGAAATATAAGAATCATGGGCGCCGGCAGCACGGTGCAAGGGAGTGCACTTGCACCCCCCTGCTATAAAAAAAAATACCAGAATTTTTTTATTTTTTTATTGAATTATTGTTTGAATAAAAACTGAAGTCGTCGAGGTTGCTGTCCAAATGTATTTATCACCTTTTCAATAAATTCGGTGTCTTCTTCTACTCTTTTCCTGTGAACACTGAGCATGCACAAGCTACTTAGCCTCGCGTCTCCCATCGTTGAGCGATTCCACGTCTTGACACGTCGTAACGTGCTAAATGTACGTTCAATACTACACGTTTTAATAATTTGGGTAGAAACAACATCACTACATACCTGGGCTGTCTGGTCTTTCTGTATTCAATTTGGATGTCTTAATATGAGATAAATTATCTTCATCGGAATGATGATTATGTTTTTACACAAAAAACGTCTTATGTCACTCATAACTTGAATAAAAAGTAATAAGTTATCCAATAAATTGCCTAAAAACGACGATGAGTCACTGCTTATACAGATTTATTACAGAAAATTAATTTGCTCCTTATCGACAAAAAACCGCAATTATTAATAGATACAAATAAAATATTATGATTATGAAACATGAACTGACGCAATCGCAAGTAGGGAAACCCTCACATCCATTGCGTGGCAGCGGGGATTCCCCGAGTCATAATGCCAACCATCGACTACAGATAGCGTTTAAGAAGATGAGAGGGAGACCAATTTACCCAAAACTATTTTACTAATTTTGTTTTACTCTAGCATTAGATCAAAGTTGTAACATTATTAGGACATGTTGGTTTATTACATATAGTTACCAATATAAAAGTCAATTTTCTATAAAAAAATGCAATGAAATTCACGTGTGATTTAAATTTTAAATAGGTTTATGAAACTATTTTTTTTATACTAAATCCTATTGTTAAACAGATTTTATTGGGTGAAAATTGCATAACATCAATCATATTCTCGGAAAGAGAAAGTATCGTTGTCAGTCATAAATGCGACCACTTAATACTGATATTATTCAGTGTTAAAAACTTCGGACAGAATGACGTTTTATAGTGTCAGTTTTTAGCTAGTTTTAATCTTAAAACAAAACTACTCATCCGGATTCTATAAAAATCTATTTTATTTATTTATCTAGCTCACAAAACAAGTATATAATTTAAATAAATGTACACAACTAAGAAATAAACCATACCGTAACTCTTAAAAAAGTGAGCATAGTATGGACCAAATACACAATGTAACATCAAAACGTAGTCACAGAACATTATACAAAAAAAATACAGCTAAATAAGATATAAAGAAAACAAACAAACAAACACATGCTTCTAAGAGCGGAGTATGCCTTGGACTTGTCTTTTAAAAGTAAGTATTTTACATTATTAAATAAAAAAAAAATATTTTAAGTAATTATTATGAATTATTTTCTTTTAAGTAATAGGTATAATTTTGTTTTAGCGGATTACTTATCTAACAAACAAACAACCATGTTGAATAGGCTAATTAATTAATTAAAAGAAAATTCCTGCGTTTATTCGGTGGTATATTTTTAAGAAGGAAAATGGAAATTTCGGAACTAACTGAAACTTTCTTACATATTTTTTACGTAATCACTTATAATGTCGGCACAATATTGTCTACTGAGTCAGATAGTGAGTAATACCACTTTATCTCCTTGTGTATGATCATGAACTTGAAAC